TCCCTATGAGGCCTCCTCCAACCCCTAATAGCCTCACCTGGTCCTCCGGTCAAAAGCAGCGAACACAAAAACACAAAGCCCCTGGGCTATAACATAAAAAACTAAACTGTCCGGCCAAACAACATTCAATCCCTACCAAGAAATACTCCAACCCATAGCAGCGATCAGGGGATGCTCATGCAGTTGGCCTTCTCCCCTCTGTCTGGACTGGCCAAGCTCCCCCTCCCTTGGTCACCAGAGGGGAACTGCCCCCCTGGCCTCATGCCTGGGGCTTAAAGGCCAAGCCCTGCCCCTTCCTGTCAGCTGGCTCCACCGGTTCCCCTAGCAACCAGCACCTGTGACTCTGGCTGCCCTGGTGACTGGCAGCTGAGCCTCCCCCTTCTTGCCACTAGGGGTCTCTCCCAAGCTGTTTTCTGCTCTCAGGCGCAGGGCACCTGAGTGCTCTGCGACAGAGCTCATGTTGGAATGTTTACATGGTAGAATTTTTTTCTTAATTGCTTGTTAATATTAGGTTCAGAAGGAGAAAGGTAGAGCCAAACAAAGAGCGCACAGTATAACTATTTTTACAGTTCAGGTTCATCATTCTATATTATTTGGGACAAAGGGTTTATGAGACATCATCTCCGTCTGTACTTTTAGCAAGTTTGTAAGTATGTCTTGAACTTTTAAATTCTGCAAACAAGTGTAGCAGTGGACTGTGTAGCAGCTTATGGTCAGTATTTCATTGGTATCATTGCCTTGCCCAGTAAGTGTAAGATTCCTGGTTCCAATTACAGATGCAAGTCTGAGGAAAGGATTTACTTTTCCTGGAACACTATAGCATACGTTTGGTGCCACATTTGTGTCTGGCAGACTCAAAGTTATGACTCAAAGTTGTGTAACTTTGACAGAACAGGATTCATTGCTGGGTTTTTTTCCATTCTAACTTTAGATTTTATTTACAGATATAGACTATGCTTCTACCCTTCATTTTTAATTAATATATTTCCAATAAATCATCCAGTACACTACCTTTAAGGCATGTAGCATTTGTTTGTAAAGCCTGTTACCTTATACAAGTTAATTTGTTTACTGTCGGTATTGATAAGTCTTGTATAGTAGGTCCTATGTGTTATGATGTTATGTAGTACTCTACAGAGAGAATTAGGATAGCTCCTTTGAAGATGTTATAACCTAGGCTAGGAACCAGGCATTGTATTTATCCTGGGAAAAGTTTCTTCCTGGAACAAAGAAATCTCAGGATTGACATGTAGACATATCACCCTTTCAGTTGGGGTTTAGTGAGTGTCTGCATGCACTGCTGCTTTTTTGCCATTGATTCAATGATACAATCCCAGAACAGCCGTTCAGATACACTTCTTGATGTCCCAGGACAAACTGTTAGCACTTTTTGTCCTGTGAGCCTTTTTAGGATTTGTCACAGTGACCTGTAGGACATTGGTTTGAGGGAAGTAGAGGGATTTTTGATGAGACCAGCAGAGGAAGAATTCCTGGAAAAAGATGGGGGTTGAAGATGCAGAGTTTTAGAGGGTGTGTCTACACAAGCAGTTAATGTGACTGAATAAACTCAGTTTGAGCCGGAGTAAACTAAGCAGTAAGGCACACATGTAGATGCGCCCAGAGAGTTACATAAGAGAAGGGTAAAAATTGGAAATGTGAGACCAGCAAGAGGAACAATTAAAATAGGTAGAGTAGGAGCGATGTGAGGAGCAAGTTGAGGGTTTAAAGGGAATTAGATCAGAGGCATTGGTGGGATCTTCTAAGGGAGCATGGAATCCAGCAAGGTAAGAGGAAGCCAGTGCAGTATTGGATATGGTGTATGTGATGACTTTGCAGGAAGTATTGTGGACAGGCTTGAGGGAGGGTGGAGAGAGTACTTCAGAACTTTTACATGAAGTTATATGGGGATATCATTGACAAGTTATATGAGGGTATACTTTTTCAACCCTCTTGGTTTTTCTCAGTCCAGCCTTCATCATCTTTATCTCCTTTTTCTTCCTTGTTTATAGAGGCCTATTTTCTTCAAGCTGGTGCTGGCTTAAGGCCATATTCTGGAAAGTAGCTCATCTCACCTAGATATATATTTCCCCCTTCTTTTTTTTTGGAGGGGGGGCGCACTGCAAATTATCTTCTGCCTTGAGATGGGATCTGTCACACTGCAACTATAAGCGTAAGTGGATGATGCTTCAGAAGTTTGCACCAAAGTGAAGTGTGGTGGGCTTGCTGCTTTTTCCTGGCAAGCCTGGCTTGGAGAAGGACACTTCGGATTGGTGGAACATTTCCACCAGTCAGGTAACAGCTGGGAGGGGCTTGCCCTGCTCCTGGTTGGAGGCGGGGGATGCAAGGAGCCCCTGGACCTGATTTAAGGCTGCGCTTTGCAAGTCCGACAGACTTCAGGGGTGGGGTCTCCGGTGTAAATAAAAGCCCAGCGTGTTCAGCATACTGGGCAGATACAGCAAGGGATGGTGAGGAGAGAGGAGCTCCAGAGAAGACCATCATTTGGACCCTGCCTGAGCCTCGACTGTGTGTGGATCGGTGCATGGAGAGTTGGCCCTGGGAGCAGCTCGAGGCTGCTTGGGCCCCACATGGTGTGCTGGTCAGTGCACGGAGAGTTGGTCCTGGGAGCAGCTTGAGGATGCTCAAGTTAGCCCCGGCTCTAGGCTGGATAATCAGAGCCCCACAGTGTGGCTCAGCAATAAACTAAAACATATTTAATAACTTCTTTGCCTCTGTCTTCCTCAGTAAGGACCAGAACTGCCACCTCCCTGCTGGGCCCCCTTTGGGCCTAGAGTGAGTGAGGATTTAGTTAGGGAGCTTCTGGAGGGGCTGGACATTTTTAAGTCAGCCAGCCCGGATGATCTTCACCCTAGAGTCCTGAAGGAACTCGCTGGGGTCATTGCAAGTCCCCTGGCACGGCTTTATGAACACTCGTGGTGCTCTGGAGAGGTGCCGGAGGACTGGAAGAGGGCCAACGTGGTTCCCATCTACAAAAAGGGGAGAAAAGAGGACCCGGGGAACTACAGGCCAGTCAGCCTTACCTCGATCCTGGGCAAGCTGTTCGAGAAAATTATTCTGGCACGCATCCAGGAGGGGCCAGCAGGGAACGGCATGCTCAGGGGCAACCAGC